GGGGAACAATAAATGTAAAGTCAATAAAAGACTAAACTGTAAATATCAAAAGTCTCCCTTGAGTTTGGAAAATGTTTATGCACATAATAACAAGGCAGCTTGCATTTCTCAAATTCAATTAACAACTTGGTACTTCCACAACACAGGCAGAGGAAAGCATTCAGTGCTGAGAAAAACTCACTTCATGAAGAAAAAAATTTAAAAATTAACTCTTTGCTACCAGTGTACACCAGTAAAAGATACCATGAGAATTTAACTATCACAAATAAACACCACATCTGTAATAACTCTTCTAGAGCATATAAAGACTGTGACTACAAACAACAGTGCTGCGAATACATGAAATATTTACATTTTTATGTTTGAATGAAGATATATGACTCTTGGTCAGCATGGCAAAAACATGTCAGTTTCTCTGTTTATCCTGAAGCTAAAAATCTCTATAGTACCTCATGTACACTGAGTCCCTATCCAACTCTAAAGGTACTGACTTCATTACTACCAGGCTCTTGTTGATTTTAGGAGAATGTGTGGGTTTGGGGGAAAAACAAACAAAACCCCACCCAAACAAAAAACACCCACAAACAAATAAAATTCCCATCACTCATATAAACAAACCCCACATGTTTTCCATGACTGCTTAAAAGCATTGCAGAAAAAGATAAATATATTTTCACATCAATCTTTGGAAAAGGTTTTCCCCTTTTTACTCAGACCACAAGAGATTCCAGCCTGAGAAAACAGAACTGAATTCATTTTTGTTTTCCTTTTTTTATTTATTTAAGAATAACTTAAATTTTCCTTATAATGACAACTAGAAGCAAAAGTGGAGTAAACCTGCTCCTGAATGTGTTTGGTTCAAGTCTCAGGAATACTCTTAATTCGATTTGTAGCAATTCTCCTAATTTAACACCAGATAACCTGGCATAAAGATGAATCTAGGCACAGTATTCTAGTTTCAGTATGCTACTTGAACCAAGTACTTTTCTTTTTGTCCTTTCCCTTTCCCAAAATGGCCTCTCCTTTTATTTACTTTTTTCCTACTATAAAATTTCAGAATTATTTAAACCACTGAATCATCTACAACACTACTTTTATAAATCAGACTGAACAACACCTATGCAGCTCAAGTCTTATTTCCTCTGTTTCTGATCAAATTTTTTCTTATATTTATGATTTTTGTATTCCTCACAACTTCTAAGTCTTTAAGTGCCAAAAGCCTAGCTAGCATACGATCTTAATAGCTGACCTAAGAGCTATTTCATAAAATACGCATTCTCAAGTCAAATAACACTGCCTCATGTATTTACCTGAGAACTCAAAGTTTCCAAAACTTGGCAGTGCCACTGCAGTACCCCAGTTCATCATAGGTGAGCTATAACAATAACAAAGAATTTCAATACACACAGAATACAACTAATATCCCCTTTGAATTAAACTTGAATGGATTTGCATTAACAAGTTGTATAAAGATTATTTTCTTTGACTTTTTAATATAAAATTATTTGGTAACATGGCAATTCCATATAATTAAAGTGCACTTTGGATTACACTTTTGTCCTGGAGAAGTGGTTTTATTGTGTGCAGCTAACTCAAAAAGGGCAATAATTCATACTATTTGTCTTCAGAAAACAAGGATAATATTTTACAATATCTTCCCACTGTTCTTGTGAGGGAGTCAGCCTAGAAGTCAAACACTGGCACATATTTTAAAGTTGATCCTCATATCATGTCAACTATATCATAATTTAAATGCTCAAGATCCATTTTAACTGAAGAAAAAATAACCCCACATTGACAAGTCTCAAGGTTTTCATGTCACTGGTTCTAAGCAAGACAAACAAAACACACAAACTCAAAGGAATCAAATTTTGTTGTCTCCAGAACAGTTCTTAACAGATTTAAATGTGCTTGAATTTATGCCAGAAAACGGTATGTAGCATTTCATCTTCAGATTCGTAAAGGAAGTATCTACAGTTACCTCAGGATAAAATTTCTGAAAGAATGCCTCTCGTGGAAAGTAGAGATAAAGCCACACTTTGCTCATTCCACTTTTCACATCATGTACATTGCATCATCAATATAATTACACTCTCTACCAAAATTAAAAACCTAAACAGCATCTGAAGTGCAAAAGTTAAAGTACTCTAGCGTAAGGAAAACACAGGTTTATAAGGAAATATAAATTTCTAAATTACATATAGCATTAAGTTTTATACATGTGAACCCACATATATATTATTTATATGCAAAACCACCATATAAAGATATAGAAATAGGGAATGTATACATATATACACACACATTGTACTAGCATCCTATTCAGGCCTACATATGCTCTACTCTGCACACTTTGAGAAGTTTATTTCAACTTAACATAAATTTTGAGCAGGAGTAAATTAAGTGGGTGTACAAACCTGTGCAGACTAAGGGTCATAATCATCTCAAATCAGGTATGCTCACATTACCACAGATCATCTGACTCTGATGCTGAAGAAAAGTCAGCACAACCCTAAAAATAAAGCCGTGTGCAAGAAGACTGCTTAAATATTTAAAAGCACACCACAGACACGGTGTTGATTTTAGCAGTCTAAGATGACAAACATTGAGAAAAACAAAACCACAATTTCTCATCCTTACGTACTGCTCCAACAGTCCAGAGCAAACAGGAAGTTTGGAAGGAAATTGTTACCTGGTTGACCACTACTCTACAGACCCAGAGAAACTTCAAAAATAGCATGAAATCTCAATGTAAAATTCTTCACAGTGTAGCCTCCTGCTTGACTGTGATAAGCAAATACATCTTTGTTATAAAAACAAAAGTAGACACCATTGCAAATCATTTCAGGAAAAGATAAAATCATGAACCTACAACACACAAACAGTTACCTCGTAACAGTTTCAGATATCACATAATTTTTTTAAAGTCTCTGCTAGTAAGCCAAGTAACTTTGAATATGCAAACAATCCCATCAGGTCTAGTGAAACAATGCATGCTAGTAAAATCATGCATATAGAGACACACTTGCAGCCTTAAGCTGAAAAATGAGGATCTAAGCACTAAATAACATACAAATTGCTCTGCAGGGTGGAGGAGTAGAGGCCACTATTCAACAAGAAAAGAAAATAAAAACAAACAAACCAAAGCCCATCTTTCTTCCACTTTTCCCTTTCTTTGAGCCACTTCCCTCTCGACAGCCTTGGGAAAGCAGATAGTTCAGCTCTAAGAAACTGTAACTAGAAGAAAGTTCCTCATTCAAGTGTGCCCTGCAGAGAAGCAGCTACATGAGATGCTTTCTTTTATGCAATTGAGAAACTGCAACAAACTAGTGTTCAAAATTTTAATGTCAATACTCACTCAAGTAAATTTCACTGTTTGAGCACAGGCCAGCTCACTTATTTTCTTTACACAATGGCACATTGTTAGGAAATGAGGTTTAAAAATCAAGCTTACAGTAAGCCCATTAATTAATAAACTACTCAAGAAGAGTAAATAGAAACAACGAATACAGCAATCTTAGCTCTTCCATTACTGCTAGCACAATAACTTCTGGATGGTGAAACACGGAAAGCATTTAAGCTATTTCAGACATATATGTGACAAAGTGACAAGTGTTGGCCTAGCTTAGAAACAAGTACATAACGTGAAAGGGTACATCTTTCTCCAAAACTTAATTTTAAAAAGCAGGTAGCCATTTCTTAAACTATGAAGAACGCAAAATTTAGAAATAAGGACGCATATTTTATACTTTTTTGAAAACGCTTCAACAATTAGTTCAACTTCAATTAGTTGCCCTTCAACAAAAAAGAAGTTCCACTATTTAGTGAAGTTCAGGCTGATGTTCTATGAAGAGATGGAAGGCAAAGCCATCAACTCAAAAAACAACAACAACCAAAAAAAAACCCAAACAAATAAAAATCCCTGCCTGAAATTATTTTACCTTAGTAAAAACAAGGGGAAGACAATTTTTTCATATTACAATTATCCTAAGTATTTAGGATAGGGTTTTTTTTTCTCCTTTGCAATCACTATGATACTTTTGCCCGAGCCTTTCACACAACAAACACGGATAGAGCAAAACTTTATTATACAACACGACTGTTAAAGCAGAGAGATCAGAGAAGGCAGAGGCAGCGGTGGCTGCGGCAGAAGCCCGCTGTATTTCCGCGTACAGCGCGAGTTGTGGCCAAGCGCAGGTGACCCGGCCCGGCCGAGGGTGCCGCTCCGGAGGGGTTGCGGTGAGTGCCACCCCCGCGGGCACCGGGGCTGGCCCCGCCGGCTCGGTGACCCACCGCGCCCGCAGCAGCCGCCAGCCCGGCCTGACTCAGTGCCCTGCCGAGCCGCCTGCTCGAGGGGCTGGCCCCCAGCGCCTCCCCTGTGCCCGCCTCGGCTCCCGCCCCCACGGCCGGCACCGGGCAGCACCGCGGGGCCCCAGCCCCGGCCGCCGGCTCTGCCCGGCACAAGGAAAGGCGTGCGAACAGCAGCGCGCCGCTTTGAATCCTGGGCTGTCGGGGTTGGCTTTTCCTTGTTACTGTTCGCTTTTTTTTTTTTTTTTTTCAGTGGAAACTTTCCTTTCCCAGCAGAGGCCAGGACAGCGTGAACTGCCCCGGGGCGCCGTGCTGCCATCACAGCTGACAGCTTTCTGCCCCCCGCGCCCCCCCTTCCGCAGCATTAAAAAGCAGCGGATAGATCCGGCCGGAGTTTGTTTTTAATAACGGCTTTTAGTTCGCACAGCCACTTACATCCCCTGCCAGCAAAACAAAAGTCAAGCTCCTATGCGAGCATCCCGCACAGAACCTCCTCCGCACGGGGGTCGTGGAGGGCACGGCAGAGACAAGCGCGGCACCGGGGGGAAGGAAGTAGGGCCGGCGGCAGGGAAGTTGGGATGGGTTTCGTTTATCCCGGAGCAGAGCCACCGGGAAAGGAAAGTTCACAGCCAACAACAGCTGGGCAGCGGGTCCGGGGTGGCGGGAGGGGGCTCGCTTTAGGGCCTTCTCACCTTCTGGTCTACGATGGAGCAAGCCATTTCCCGGACGTGGGCGAGGCTGAAGTCCCCCGAGGAGTCCTGCAGCAGCAGCACCGGCTCCCGGCTCAGCCCGATCTGGAGGTGGAAGGCGATGCCGCCGGCGGCAGCAGCCCCCGGCGGCGGCAGCGGGCTGGGCGGCCGGATCAGCGGAGGGGCGCTCATCGCAAACTTCCCTCCGAAGCCACCGCCGGAGCCGAGGAGTCAGGGACGGAGGGGCAGAGTCGGGCGCCGCCACGAAAAGTTTGCGGCCGCCCCGGAGGAGCCCGGAGAGTTTCCCCGCGAAGTTTCAGGAAAGTCCCGCCGAGCTCCTCCCGGGTGAAAATGGCGAGGGGGATGGGGGGGAGGACCGGAGAGGATGCAGACAGGAAAAGGCGGCGAGAAAGACGCGCGGGGGGAGCCCGGCCCAGCGCCGCCGAGGTGGTGCCGCCGCTCCGGCTGTTGGCGCCGTGCGCGGCGCGGGGGCGGGACGGGCCGCGCCCTCCGTCGGGACGGGCCCGCGCCCAGCTGGGCCGCGCCGCTCCGCCGCCGAACGGCGGCCGCGTCCTGCCGGGCGGCCCGGGTAGGAGCGAGCGCGGCGGTGTCGGCTGGCTCCTCGCGGCCGAGCTTAGCTAAGCCGGCTCTGGTCTCCCCACCTGGCCCAGCCAGTGGGCTGCGGTGCTGGCGGAGCTGAGAGCCTCCTTTCCCCCGTGATCCCCGTTGGGCGGTATGTCAAGAGGCAGGTGGAGGCAGAGCCCGAGGAGAGTCGGCGATTTCCCTTGCTGGCAGGCAGCGCGGGGGCCTCTCCCGGGCAGGGCGGCTGCTGCCCCGAGGATGGAAAGCAGTGCCAGGGAAGCGGGAGCTCCCGTCTGACTCCGGCTCTCCTGCCCGGCCTCAGCTGGTCCCTCCGGTCAGCATCGTGACCGCTTCCAGCAGTCCCTGCTCGTCTGGGGAAGAAGCAAGGGACAGGTCGCCCTTCTCTAAACTAGCTTCTAGTTTCAGGTATAGTCTGTGTTAAGGAGTACCTTGCCAGCCAAAACCAGGACGAGTTAGTCTTCCCAGCTCTTGGGACCGGTGCAAGCCCCACCCGTTTGTACAAGCAGCATCCATGCAGGGCAACATCTAGTATAAAACACCTCCTCTTGAAGATGTGCAAAGGCAGTGGAAATGTGGGCTGTAAATGTTTTAAATAACAACGGAAAGACTCTTGGAACTAGATAAACGTGGTACCCGTGGGTTTGTTTGAACTACTACAGGTAGCATGTTGGAAAATACTACATGTATATTTGAAAACTCAGTAGTTGATCTGATTTACAACTTGCTTCATTGCAAATTGCGTTTTTTGACCAAAATTTACATCTGCGGCGTTGTTTTATTTTGATCCTGTCTTATTAGGACCCATTTAACTGTTGTACACTTATTTCCAGCCTGGGAAGGACTGCAAGCTTCCCATGAACCCATGACCTACCCAGCTTTTGTACACAGGAGTCACCGTGGGAGAAACATACTAGAAGATCCTGCAGCCCTGGTTCATTGTTGAATCTGAGGTTCAGAGTGGACCCCCTTACTTCCTAAACTCCCAATGAGAGCTTAGGCATGGCTAGTTTGAAACTTTGACTTGGACATGGTCAAGAGCTCATATCTTAAGCAATATAAAATAGTACCTAAAGCACTCAATAGGAGGGTCTCCCTTACACTTTTGTTTCTTCCAGGCAAGCTCAATTCTAAATCAATTTTCTTTTGTATATTTCATCCATACAGTAATATAGTGAGCCTTGCCATCAGACTTAAAGTTGTGCTTTTACAAATTCATATCTAACCTACTTTTGCTGATGTTTTTGATGGCGATTTTTTGAGCAACCTAAACCACTCATTCACGACACAGCTCTTTTGCAATTCCACAGATAACCAGAGCAGAGGTAGCAGTAACAATATTGAGAACCACATGTTCTTTGTTTTCTCATGTATGTGAAATCGAGTGATAAAGCTCATATGTCATGACTTATCGCATCATCTGTACAGATATAACTTTTTTTTCAAAAAGAAAGGTTACAGTATTTTTTTTAAAGTTGCAGTTGATGAGTTGTTTTGTTTAGTGGGTCAGCTGTTTTGAATACACCTTTGTAATCAGAATAGATGAGGGCAGGATTTCTTCAGTGCTGTGTCAGCCAGTAATACAAATGCCATTTATAAAAGGATTCAGTGGAACCACATGATGTGATCCTGAGTACAACCTGACCTGTTGTACTTACTGAAATGTCATCTATTTCATGATCCTTCCAGATCGGGGAATTGTTGTGCTGATGCCAGGGAAGGGAAAAAACCATACACAGCAGTATCTGACCTCATACAGAGTGCATGCCTGGTTGCTAATCTGTACATGCACAGGTGGAAAAACCACTGGAATCTTGCTGCACCTGTACAGATCAATTCAACAGTACATGAACTGCCACCTCGAGCTTGCAGGGGAAAAATGAATTTGTCACGCATGGCTTTATGCATCTGGCTATGTACAGGAACAGGGCAGTCAGCAGAGGATGTCACTATAACATCACATTAAGAAAGCATGTCCAAGCTGCCCTCAAGGTACTGTTGCTGTAATGTTACTTCTAAATTGCTCTACATTGCCAGGCTATGAAGGGTGTATAGTAGTCTTTGTATGTTCTCATGCATACATCAGTTGACCCTCCACTTCAATGTGTTTCTGAACATGTGATCTTCTCTTCTTTCAGCTTTCTGCATTGCATAGATGATATTCTGTTCTATTCATCAGGAGTAACATCTCCTTCATAAGGTTTTTATTCCTTTCTGCTTTTCTCTATCCGTGATATAACTGGTCCTTTTTTGAGCAGTCCATTTATCTTCAGTCTTTTCAACAGAAGCAATTTTATGGTACATATGTTTTAATTAAAAAAAAAAAAAATCCAACAGCCAGCAGAAATTAATGCAGAATATGCTTAAGCAATGGAGAATATTCTGTAAGTCAGTTTATTTGACCTAGATGGTACTAGTTTCTAGGTTGAAGTTGTTGACCTAAAATTTAGCTCCTGTATGTTTACAAAGAGAGTAGAACACAGGTGATTACAATGAGATGTTTACTGCTGGTTTTGTGAGGCAGATAGTGGAATATCATATCTCATTCTATGATCAGTATTTTGAAAAACAGATTGCTTGGCAACATGCTCAATAGTATAGTGTATCTTAGCAAGGAGAAAAGAATAGAAAAAAGCAAATAAAGAGTAAAAGGAAGTAGTCACTGGAAACGATAGAAAGCGCGACTGTAAATAAAGTTCAAATTTTCACTGAAAACAAGTAGTCATTAGAATAAATAAGCCATGAAAGTGACAGGGAACCTCTTCTGATATTTGCAAGTTTAGACTGAGTGTTTATTCACAAGCTGTTTGGGCTCAGTACTGTGGAAACTTCTTTGGTTCCCCAAGGTCAGAGTGGAAGATACCTACCTTTACCCAATTGTTATGTTCCTGATGGGATCCAGAAAAGATAGACCACATGAATTCAAGGATATAAAGATAGTACTTTTTCTTTCTCTCTTGTAAGAAATGTATCTTCTCTCAGAAGGAAAGCATCATCTGTCTAGGAAGAAAGTGATTTGGCATAAATCCTTTGTGCCTTAGGTCACTTTCACATGTGTGCTTCTGCTGGACTCCATAAGCAGTTCAACATAGAGCAGATACCTGTGGAAGGGTTTACTTTCCAAGCCACTACTGAAGATAACAATTTTTCATGCTTGAAAATTTATCTCTTCAGTGTGCAACAACAGACCAAATGTTAAAGTAGGCAGAGACACTTGCTGAATCAGGCCAATAGCCATTTTTGCATTGTGACCCTAAAATTTTTCAGTTGCCTTCATCTTACACATTCCTAATCTACTCATACTCTATGCTAGAGCAAAAACCTCAAATTTTACAAGGTGTAGCTCTCATGTCAGGTGGTTTACATATTCTTTATATAGACTTAGATTTTAACATTGAATATGCAGCCAAATCTGTTTAAGAATAAGTATACATATACTGTTTCTACAGTTGAATACAGACTGTGTTATTTGCAGTCTTACTAAGTAGCAAAATGTGCTTTATTAAAGACACATCTACAAAAGTGAAAACATTTTTTCTTTCTGCTGTTTTCAGATGCTGAAATTATGTTTAAAGTGGACTGCATGCTCCTGTAATTTCTCTCCTGAAACAAAAGCAAATCATTGAAAACTAACTAACCAAGGAAAAAAAGAGAAAAACTGACTGGTAAATACAACGGAATAAAATTTGGGAAGAAATGTATAGGCTGTGATGAAAATTAAAAGGATACTAGGATTGGAAATGCAAATGTCACTGAATCTGGAATTGGTATTGTGTTAGGGCTGAGCTGGTAAGTGAAATGGGGCTGATATCTGAAATAGTGACAGCATAGCTTCACAGATAAGCTCCTGGGTATTTGGAGAGAAGAAGCAGATGTTAGCTGTACAACTGCTTAGGGATTTCCTGATAAGCTGCTTATGTCCATGAGAAAATGATAACATTTCAGGATCTAAATGGTTGTTGTGAATACAGTAAATCTCCCAATTTTTTTGTTTGTGGTTTTGGTTTCCAATTGTTGAAAATGCGTCATCATTTCTAAAAGGAAAGGAGTGTTACCTTCCATGAGTTTCTACTAAATGTTGTAGATAATTGGGACAAAACATTTAAAAACTGTAAGCTTAATAATTTGAAATTCAAGTTTAAAAATCTGATACAACACAATGCGGTATTTTTTATAAATGGTTCACAAAAAATCTGATTTTTTTCTCTTTTATGTCTTGGAAATGGAAGTTAAACTCTGCCCAGTGATAGGCTTCCATAGTCAGCAAACAGTTTTGTCAGCCTAAACCAAACTGATCATAGACATGAAAGGTAGATAACATTAAAATAGAATCTGAAATATTGCAGGATAAAGCACTTTTATGTCAAGTATCTGCATATTCTAGGTTTTTTGAGCAAAAAGTGTGCTGCTTTGAGAGGGAAAAAGTTTCTTTGGTTTTCTTTATTCTCTGTACACCAAGCTGACCTCATGACACTTGAAAACTTCCGGCATAGGGCAGGCTCTGTTTATCCCAAAGTATGAATTGAGGATGTTTGTTACAGCTTGATGATAGAATAACTGATGCATTCAGATAAGCATGAGCATCTTGGCATTGTTCGTGTGTATTTGTACAATTTGTCCTCACTGGCTCTCTGGTTCTTAGGAGCACAGTATGCCTGGAATGAGGTGGCCATTGATGCTTGAAACTGCTGAGGACTCTTCCCATTCTGGGGATGCTGTAGTGAGGTAGTCATTGTGCTTAAAGGAAGACACAGCAC